GGAGGAGTTCTGAGATTAAAAGATGATCCTCGATCTTTGTTGTATATGGTGACCTGGAAGTTGTATACAGACAGGGCAAGCTACGAGGATATATGGCGTGCTCTATTTAATTTGAAGAAAATCATGCCAAAATCGTGCAATTATGACATCAAGAATTTGGCTTTCCCCAAGATAGGTCATGTACTAGAAAATCTGGATTGAAAGATTGTCAGAAGCATGCTTGAAGTGATCTTCCGAGAAACCGGCGTACGAATTACTATGTGTTGCATTATTCCGAAGAGATCGTGTCCTTCAAAGACAGTAGACTGTTATTTCTTTCTGAGGGGTTCATGCAGAGCTGGAGAGTCCTGTAGATTCCGCGATCCTGGGCCTACATATAGAGTTTTTCATTACTCAGTACAGTACAGTACATTTCGACGTGGCCCATATAACGGTTGCACCTCGAGACGACCATAATCTGTGTTCGGGAACCTTCCGGATGTATCGACCGGGATAGAGATGGAGAACGTTAATGCAAGCGAATAGAGGCGGGCTTTTCCAGAATATTCTAGTACATAATAACTTTTTTTATTTATATAAATAAAGAACCGCTCGTTTTATTATAACACACTACAATACGTATTTATTTATGTATCATTTTTTTACAGCTGGCACGAAGTTTCTTGGAATTTTCCTCATTGCGTTGGAGCTTGTGATGGAAAACACATGGTTAGCAAAACCCAAAGAACAGTAGCAGTAGTTGTAGTTGAACATTTTTCAACTACAAAGGGAGTTTTAGCATTGCTTTGATGGTCATTACTGATACTTATTATAATTTCGGATACGCAAATATTGGATGTCAAGCAGGATTTCTGATGGTTGTGTGTTTCGAGAGACGTTACTTTATAATTAATTGACTAACTGAACGCTAAATTTACCTCACCCAGAACCATTACCTGGAAGTGAGAGGTTATCGTCTTATGCAAGATTGATTGATAAAGCATTCCCTCTTCAGGAACACATCATGAAACCATTTAAGCTCTAATCTTTTCTTGAAACCACGTTTTGTCAACTGGGTGTCACTCGTATTTTAAAACTATTGCACATATCAAGATGAACGAAACGGCATTTTATTCTTTAGATGTCTTTCTATGGTCGGTACAACAACCAAAAATATTCATTGTTATTTAAAAAAAAGTTATGAAGAATTAAAAGTGCAAAAAATGTTGAAAAATTCAAAAGTCCGTCATTTTATTTTTTATTTTTTTTTTTCGGTAAAAATGTTTCATTGTAGCACTGACCGTAGCCAATTCGATACAGAATATCAAACCATTTTGTTTTTTGCTTTCGAATAATTTGTTTCCCAGAAATGGTGACAGCCACCAACAAATTGGACGAATTTGGGCAGCCATTTTTAGAGAGGCCATTTTGAATAATCGAAAAAACATTTTTTTCAAGGACTTTAATATGTGTAGTTTCACCTACCTCTAAAAAGTTTGATTTTCAAGTATCTTTTGTACTATAAATAAAATTTATTTAAAAAAAAAAACATTTTTGTTGGAGGAGCATGGCCTTAACTTTCATTCTTGTTGAGATGCTTGTAGAATTAAAATATTTTTTTAGTGAATATCTACTTAAAATAATACAAAGAACAGAAACGTACATTTAGGACTTTTATTCTTCTACTTACACTATACAATGTACAAAACCTATAATGTTCATAAAAAATATTAGCCTAGATTAATGTAATTGATCTTAGAATTTTGATACATTTACTACCAAATGATAAAAGTACGGTTACTACCTACTCATACATAACTGAAATCATAACAAACTATAAATCACATACGCTCCTTAAGTAATACCAAATCTGACTACTAGATAAGCTATCATATAAAAATTAGCCCGATAAACATTGTTCACTTCATTTACATAAAATAATTACAATGTTCATGTCAACTTTTCCATATGTCGATCATTTCCAGCATGTCGGTTGAACGCATCAGAACCATGGGTTTATTCGCAGAACCATCTCAGTATAGTGATTGGACTAGGCATACTCTTACTCAGTGAAAAGTTTGCCACGTCTACAGTAAACTTATATAATACAAATCTGTTTCAGCCCCGTTAAATAATCTGGTTATCGAACAAACTTTAGGTATATTATCAATGTATGTAAATGAATTAAACCATGTTTTAACACTTTTTAAAACCTGTTAAAATTAAGAAAGCGGAGCCGCGAAACTCTTTTAAATTACATGTTATCAATATTCATCAGGCCAAATAATAACAATAATAAGCTATTTTCCAACACCAGTCAGACAAAATTTAGTTATTTCACTTCTATCCTAAGTAATATGTACATTAAAATGTTAAGACAAGGCATATTCATCACCTGATCATATAAAAAATATATATCGGATTATTTTTTTTAAAGTGGATTACAATTTTATTTCTAATTACAAAACCATAAAAGTTAAATATTAATAAAGTAAATTCTATAGTTAGTTGTACACTAAACATTAATTATATTGCTGATAAACATAGTTTAGCGAAAGAAATAGAATAGCATCCAGATCGTATTAAAAAATGTTGAGCCTGAAGATCAAACTAATAATTTATCTGGTATAAGTCTTCTTCGTGTGCTCTCCCACTTTATTTTTAAAGCTTATTTTTACGGCAATTAGTGGCCCACAAGTAGAAAGTTTATTACACCAGATAACTGGAAAATAGAAATAATGACACCTACATTATTTAAAAAAAAGAGCGGCAAAGAAAATGCTGTAACTATAGAGCAGTATAACTTATAATAAACCACAAACTGAATGATAAAATAGGGTAAATAATAAATACTGTCAAATAGGGATACAGGTCAGGCACCCATGTATATCTGAAATCTAGAGAATATAACAAATATGTTCACGTATGCTTTATTGGCCTTTGAAGGTGACAAAGCAGCGCTATAATTACAAAATATTATTAAATAATGGCATAAACCAGTGTGTGTCTCAGTGTCACTTTTCTGCTCTGGTGCTAAAACAATATATACGAAAAAAAGGGGGGAAATAATCAATAATCAATAATCAAATCTGAAACTTGGAAAACCTATATGTATCAGATGCAAACATAGAAATCATCAAAGGAAGAAAAAGAAACTGTTCAAGACGAAAAGTTATTCACAAAATTTAACTGATCACATTTATTTCAATAATGAAAGAAACGACGAACAATTATTGAAAAGAAAAAAAGTATAATACAATATAGACTAGGAAATTAACGGTTTTCCCACAACCCTCGTTGACGCACGTATCTAAGAACTGCTTTGGATAAATTTGGTGATAACAATATGTAATAAACAAAATATTCAAAATATTAAACGTCATTTTTTACTTATAAACTATATATAAATAATGTAAGATCGCTATTTGATTTTAGAGACGATATCGAATCGAAATGTTGTCATATTTACAGAAATTAAAAAAAAACATAGTGTCCTACGATCCTTAAAATTTTAAATTGCTTATTGTTTATAAATAATAAGCAATTGAAAACAACTATTTGAAAGATTACGACTTAAACTTAAGTTTGAAGAAAAAAAAATTAAAAATGATTAATTTAAACATGAGCACTCGATTATGCGCCAAAGATAAAGAGTTTAAAAGTGAAGAGATTTAACTATTTCAAAAACTGAATTCATAACTTCAAATTTATAAAAGTTGCAATATCTCCAAAATTCAATTAGTTAATTTATGAATTGTTTATTTAACCGAGTAATTTGTTTTAATAATTTAAAATTCTCTAGTTCTCTAAACAATGTTAGTTCCGTAAGTATTTTCAAAGTTCAGTAGTTATCCAGATGTTTACCAGAAGTAATCCAGACCTTCACTAATATAGGGTCTTGCAACAACTCTTGCCTTCTCAAATTCTGTGGCAGCGACATGGAAAAACATATACTGCATCCATAGTTTGGATGAATTTGGACTGGCAAGTAGCAACCTATCGAAATGTTAGCACTTTCAGGAGCTTTAGTCTTCTTCCTCTTTGGCCAGTTGAGCTCTTTCCGCTGGTGATAGCTTCTTTTTTACGGTTGTTTCTATATTCTTCCTTTTTTATTTATCGATTTTACTACTTCAAAACTGAACTCATATATCAAATTTATAAAAATCGCAATATCTCCGGTTGTAATCAACGAAAACTGATGTTTCTAATTTAGGGTAGAGGAGACCGGTACAGCGAGGACCACCGGGGTAAATAGTACCACCATCATTACATATACAAATACATATTTTGAATTAGTAGGTTGGCAAGAACCGAATTCAGTTCTATATCGATGACAGATGCTTGTTGTTTGTTGGTTGTGTACAATTGAATAATATGGTGTTGTGTACAATTGAATAATAAAATCGAGTTTTCACGTTAAGTTGTTAAAAATTTTTCACCAAATATTATATGTTGTAAAAAAGCTTCTAGAATATTGAGAAAATCCGAGTTAAAAATCTGAAAAACTAACCTAAATTTTTATCATTGCATACATTTAGACTGAGTAACTTTCCGAAATAGTTATATTTGGGGTAATGGGGACTATTTGCATAGGGGCGCAGACAGGATAACGGTCCTGTTATCCTGTCAAATTAGAAAAAACAAACATTAATTTTCGTTGGTTAGAACCGGAGATATTGCGACTTTTATAAATATGAAATTATTAATTCAGTTTAAAAGAGTAAAATCGAGAAATAAAAAGGACTAATTCGGGTTCTAAGTATCGTAGGATATTGTATTTTTTTTTAATTCGTGTAAATATGCCACAATTTTGAATAAAAAATTAACTTCCTATATATTGATGCGTCTAGTTATTTTAAAAGATTATAAGAATATCTCTCAAACAACTTCAATTTAGCAATAACTGTTACAAACTCTCATTTTAAACGATTTTATATGCTTTTTCAGTAAAATTGTGTCACTTTTCCATATCATTTACCAGTGTTTACCTTTAGTTATTTTATAATTTATAATTTACATTTTTATAAGTAAAAAATGACGTTTAATCTTTTACATATTTTGTTTATTACATATTGTTATCACCAAATGTATCAAAAGCAGTTGTTAGATACCTGTATCAAAGAGTGTCACGAAAAATGCTTTTTATTCGATAATTTCTCTGGTCTAATACTATTGGGAAGATTCAAAAGTCATAACGGTGATGATGAAGTTATAGACAATTCACAGGTGCAAGAAAAATGAATTAAATATATTTTTCCCAAAATTGGGGTAAAACACTAACCTGTTAATTTCTTTTTATATATGGGAATAATTTATAAAGTTCCTACACATGTAAAATTACATAATTTCAAAAGTCTCTATGATTTTAGTCATATTTTATTGTGTTTATAACTTTTTATATTTACGAATGACATAATTTTAAAAATGTTATTATTAAGTAATGTTAAAGATTAGACAAAATCTATTGTATTCTATTCTTAAGGGGTACTTTTTAATTACATAATTTAATTGCTTTTACGTTTAAAGCAGTAATAATAGCCCTGAATAGGCCGAACCAATCAGAAAAAACTGAATACTAAATTATAAACTTTATCACATGTGCCAACGAATAATATGACTAATTCTTCATAACTTGTATACATGACAGAAGATAAATGACAATAACTCTTAAGGACGATACAGGTATCAAGTACGAAGAGAAAGAATGGAAGTGAAAGATATATGAAAAGTGGAAAGAGAAAACAATAATAATTTCAATAATTCAATAATCTTACTAAATCGTAAGAAAAATGTATGTTGCAAATCATGTTTCTGAAAGTGTAAACGACAAGCAATATTTTTTCTCAGTTTTGTTTGATGTTAATGGTACATATTATTGAATAATCAACATATTTTTGCAATATTAATTGATATATCATGTGTTGCTTGACAAAAAATAACTAGAATAAATATTGCAGGTTGGTTAAACACTTTTGTACTGTTCAGATCGCAGGAATGTTTAATTTTTTGGAATTACAAAGAAAAATTTCGAAACTTTACTATTGTTGAAGTATCCTGTAACATAAAATTAAAAAATAAAATAAAAATAAAAACAACCCTGTTAACAATTAGTAAATAAAATTTTGAGCAAGTGTTTTATGGTTTCTTGCGATTTTGGAGAGGATCCTTTGAGTCTGAATTCGAAACCGTGGAATTCGATCTTGGAACCAAGATGATAGATCCATCGGCGGATGTTTGTAGGCTAAATTGGTAGGGGGAATATTGATTGCCCTCAGAATCGCGCAAATTCTAAAACAAGAAAAAAAATGTTAGCTGATACAAATTAATTGTACTTAAATAATATTGATTAACAATAATTTATTTATTTATCGTATGGCAATTACAACACATTTAGAACAAAATTACAAACACTAGTAATATAGGTATATGACAAACTTTAAATAATTAAAAACAAACATCAAATGTATTAACATAATCAATTGACTCTGAAGTTGCAAACAGGAAGTCTTCATGGCTACCGTTATAGGATCTTGAGGGACACTCTTCAATAATGTGGTCGATCGTTTGGTCCTTCCCACAGTCACATTGAGGAGACGGATTCTTTCCCCATTTATGTAGCATGTAAGCACATCTGCCATGTCTGGTTCGGATCCTGTTTAGAGTGAACCATGTTTTACGTGGAAGATCAAAACCTGGTGGCTTGTGGGTAATACAGGGCATGTTATTTTGCCATGCATTCCATTCTTGGGACCATGCATTCGTGATGTTGAACTCCTCATGTATCATTCTTGCCGTTTTCATTGGTGGTTTTCTAGAACGTAGACGGGTATTTCGTGCATCCTCGGTATCTTGGTGGATCGGCAGGTTTATATTGTTCATGATCTGTTTGTATTCACGTGTAAGTGCGTCAACTTGTCGTAAATGTGGAGGTGGAATGTGACTTAATACTGGAAGCCATTGGGTGGGAGTTGATTTAATTGTACCAGCTATCATCCTCATAGTGCTGTGCAGCTGAGTGTCGACCTTTTTTACGTGTGGACTGTGTAGCCAAATTGGGGCACAATATTCAGCGGTCGAGAAAACAAGGGCTAAAGCAGTAGAGCGGAGAGTGGAAGCCGATGCTCCCAGGTGGTACCGCAGAGCTTCTGTATAATGTTATTTCTTGTACTCAACTTTTGGGCAGTTTTTGTTAAATGCTCTTTAAATGATAGCGTTCTGTCTAGTGTTACGCCCAGGTACTTCGGTGTTTTGTTGTGGGAAAGTGTGGTATTTTCAAACCGTATGTTGAGTTCCTCTCCAGCAAGTTTATTGTTCAGGTGAAAGCAACTTACTTCTGTTTTGGATGCATTTGGTTGAAGCCGCCACTTGCGAAAATATTTGCTCAATATATATAAATCTGCCGTCAGAACTTCTTCAGATGTTTCTAGTGTTCTGCATCGTGTAATGAGGGCCCAGTCATCGGCGTATCCGAACTTTCTTGATTGTGTTTCTGGCATATCTGCTAAATATAAGCTCAATAGTAATGCAAAGAGCACTGACCCCTGTGGTAGGCCATTCTTAAGTTTCTTCGGTGGGCTGATATCTGTGCCCATCACTACTTGAAACATTCGGTCGTTGAGCATGCTATCTATTAAACGTGCTATTTGTTTACAGGGAATTCCACGGAGAATTTTGTATATAAGGCCCTCTCTCCATACTGTATCGTAGGCTGCCGAGAGATCAATAAATGCCGCTGAAGTTTTAAGTCTTCTTTGGAAACCCGCTTCGATGTAGGTGGTGAGTGACATGACCTGGTCCGCGCAGCTTCGTTCTGGTCGAAAACCCGCTTGTTCGACTGGGATCACCTGGAACAGTTCTGTACTGATTCTATTATATATAAGCCTCTCTAATAGTTTGTAGATGGCAGAGAGAAGCGCAATTGGTCTGTAGTTTTTTGGGTTGTCAGCGGGTTTGCCTGGCTTTGGTATGGCTATTATCTTAGAGCGCTTTAGTTCTTGTGGGATATTTCCAGTTTCCATGATGTCTGTGAAAAATCGAGCCAACCAAACTTTTGTATACTTGCCACAATTTAGTAGGAATTCAGGGTGAATATTATCAAATCCTGGTGCTTTTGCTGGCTTAACATCTTTTAGAGCCTCTGATATGTCTTTGCTGGTGAAGGGGAGGGAATGTTCCGTTTCTGTGGCTACATGTTTTAAAGTTTTAAGTTCTCTCTTTACGTAGATGGTGTGTGCTTTATCCTTTGGTGCTCTGGATGTTTTTACTATATGTGATGCTATGGCATCTGGCTTTACGGCTGCCTCTTGGCGTTTCGTACGGACACCACTCCCTAATTTTCTTAGTAATGACCATGCCTGTCTGCTTGATTTCTGGAAGTTTAGACTTTCTACTGTTTCGGTCCACTTTTGTCTTCTAGCGGCGTCTAGGCTGTACAGTAGTTCATCATAGATTAACAATAAAAATACATATTACAAATTATACAGGGAATTATGCTAATTTTGGAGGAGATTTCTTTTTCCAATTCACCTGAAGGGGGACCGCCCTGTAAAAATATCAATATTAAGGGGACAGTCTCATGCGGAACTTTCAAAAAATCAATTTTTTTTATAAATCGCTTCCATTCACATTCAAAAACTCCCTCCTAAAATTTTAAAAAGAAATTCCCACTAGAATATAAGTTATAGTTATTTGATTAACGTCATCTACGCACGTATATAAATCGGTTTCTCTCCGCGCGGCGAGCGCGAGGCTCCAGCTGTTCTTGCTTTTGTATATATGTTGTATATACGTTGGGTATGTATTAGTGATTCATTTTTATATAGTATGTATATCAGTATAACGTTTGGCAGTTACTATACACATTTGGAATTTTAAATCCGGAACATAGGATTTTTTACAAATACTAAGATTCTCTGCGTTGCAATTAACCAGTGTTTCTTTATAATGTCGCGATATTTTATAACTAATTTATTTTGTTCCACTGGATTTATAGTTATACTTCTCCTCAGCGGTTTATAGTAGCGTATATGGTACGCCGACAGTGTTACTCCGTCTACCGATTTTTCCTGAAAGTCCGGTTTTGTGCAGAGAATAAATAATGTTTTATTAACATCAATTTTGTTTGTGTTCATTAGGTATTATTTGAGTTATACAATTTATACTTAAATACATTTATTAATCCAAATATCTATTGTTTATAATTTCAAATTAAAAAGAGTGTAATATTATTTTTAAAATTCCTTTTTATTTTTAATTTTAGGAATCAACTTTTTTTTTCAAGCCGTTTTGGCAATAAAACAACCATTTTTTTAGTTATAAAATATTTTCATATCTACATTTATAAATAAGTACGTTTTCGTTGAATTGACATGCAATCTAGGTGTGTTCCGTTTTTACACTTACACTGGCAGCATCGCGGCGTGAATTGAGAGTGAGACTCCAGTCAAACAAATGAATTAATTATAAAACATCGCGACGTATTGAAATTTACAGCTTTACAAAGCCATTTACAACAACTGTTGGATGAAGACGGTCCTCAATATTCACCAGGAATGGCCGATTAAACGTGAGTATAAAGTTATCAGCCTTTTATTCACGAAAATTATGTAAAAAAAAACTTTAAATGCATTTTTCTCAAAAGTAACATTTTCAAACTGGTCAGACACTTTTCTCCGAACCTTCTTAACCGATTTTAAAAAATCAAAATTTTTTCGAATGTATATAGAAAGTACTAGATGATAAACCTTTAAAATATTTAAAAACCACCCTCCCTTTTATTATATATGGGTAAATCCACCGAAAAATATAGTGATTTTTCGACTTTTTTGAAAAAATTCGTATAAACTCTTCAAAATAATATAATTTGCATATTTTAAAGGTTTATCATCTAGTTTTGAGTCTCACGAATACAACCCATTTTGAATTTTTTGAATACCTATCTGTTACAGGTGACCCACAAAGTGTCTTACCACCAAAAACGCACTTTTTACTACACGCCATCTACAGGCCACCAATGAAGTTAAAATCGCTATTGAAAATTTTTATTATGTACTTCAAGAATTACTTAATCATCTCCAAAAGGAATTATGTTAATAAATATTATAGTTTTTTTTTCTGCTTTAATTTTAAAATGCGTCTTTTTTTTTAATCGCATGAGACTGTCCCCTTAAATTGCAAAAAGTTTTTTACCGTTTTCCTTGTAAAATAGGAATAGGAAGTAAATTTTTCGAAAATTTCTACATATTTTAAAACCTGAATATTTATTTCTCTATACCGGGTGTGCCAAAAGGAGCGGGACGTCGTATATTTCGCGAAATTTATATCGGATCAAGAAACATAAAAAAGTGTTAAAATTTTTTAAAAATCTATCGAACACTAAACACGATCACTAGCCTAACCCCCTGTGTATGGGGAACAGGCAACTTAAAAATCTTAAATAGGAATCCAATGTTTTATTGCACATTTGGATTCCTTATAAAAAAATAAGTAACTGTTATTTGAAACATTTTTGTCGCTATGATAGAAACGATTTGTTCTGATACCCTAGGAATATTATGGAAACGGTATAATGTTTCGAGAAATACTCTTCTAAATAAAAAAAAAACAAAAAACGCGTAATTATAATTTTTTAAAATCTATCTAATGACATACAACACGACCCTCCACCTCTACACTCTGGGTGGGGCGGAGGCAACTTTGAAATCTTAAATGGAACACCCCATTTTTATTACAGATTTGGATTCTACGTGAAAAATTAAATCAAGTTTTATAAAGAAAAATGTATTCGCGATAAATGGCGCTGATAAATGAAGAAAGCCTCTTTACAATACAGAACACAAAAAACACAACAGGCATACAACCACTATAAACGAATCAGAAATGAAACGAATACTTTTGTTAGATAAATAAAAAAGGAACACTGGCAGAGTTTCTCAAAACAGATGGAACACGACTTCTACGGAATACAAAAAGAAATATGGAGAATGATCAGAGGACAAAGAAAAGAGATGAACGAACTAATAAAAACGAAACACATTCAGAAGGAAACATGGGTAGAATACTTTCGATCCTTATTTGCTAAAGGTGACGACAGTGAACCACCAACAGCAGAGGTGACGACAAACGAAGAAATAAATATTGAGAAGGAAGAGGTAAAGGAAGTATTAAGGAAATTAGAAAAACAGAAAATCACCAGGAGAGGACAGAATACCGAACAAACTCCTAAAGTACGGAGGACCAGATCTAACCAAACAACTATCAAAATTAGTCTAAAAAATAATAGAACAAAA